ACAATCCGGCTGGCTCGCCATGACGGGGCGTTACCTGGACTATTATTCGGTCCCCGCTTCTCAACGGGTCACGGTTGCAGCTTGTAATTTTGGGTCGGACGCTTCCATTTGGATGCGTTGGTTCGAACAATGGTATCCCATGGATGATTGGGCTCTCTTCACTGAACATCTTCTCCATCGCTTTGGCAGCTGCGACAAAGCCCATATCGAAACTCAGCTTTCGCATATCCAACAGCTGGGTAGCATTGAGGACTACATTGCGGTGTTTACGAAATTGTCATGCCATGCCCTTGACTGGTCCGATAGCCAGCTTAAACACGTTTATATCGGTGGCCTCCGGGATGATTTGAAACTTGATGTTTTGGCTCTCGAACCCGATTCTCTCCACCAAGCCCAAAAGCTCTCCAAAAATTTTCAAACCAAAAATCAGTCTAGACGTAACTTCCAGCGGCCCTCATACCCGAAATATTCCTCCACCCCTATTCCAACTGCCCTTCTTCCACCTCAACCAATTCAACCCCCTCGTCAACCTTTTCCACCAGCTCCCGTCCGTCTCCTCTCCCCAGCCGAGGCCCAAGACTGGAAGGCCAAAGGGCTCTGTTTCCACTGTGACGAGTTTTTCCAACCGGGTCACCGCTGCAAGAAGCCGGTTCTTGCCTTGCTTGACATCGATTCTCCTAAGGACGATCCGTCCGAGTTCCATGATTGCCCACCTGTTGATGACTCCGAGGCTGAAGCCCCGTTACACATGATTGAGCTATTATCTCTCCCCAGTCTCACTCTCGGGCGACCGATGCGCCTCCGCGGTTCCATCAACAACACACCCATCATTGTCTTTATCGACTCTGGGGCCGCTGCCAATCTTCTTAGCCTCTCCCTCGTGGGTCTACCCGTGACACCTACAACCCCTACTACATTTACCTCTGCTTCTGCCCAGCACCTCACCTCCACTACTATGGTCTCCAATATCCAAGTGAAAATTCAGTCTTACACCATGACTGGTTCCTTTCGGCTCCTTGAAGTCCCAGGTTGTGATTTACTCTTGGGTGCTGAATGGTTAGACTCTTTGGGTTTCATTGGTTGGCACTTCCGCCACAAGACTATGATTTTTACAGTGGATGGTCACACCCACATATTACAGGGCCTTATCCCATTCACAGCCACCTCACCTGGCCCTGAACACCATTTCCCATCCACGCACCCTTCAATCCTCCATCTTCTCCATTGTTATCGGGATCTCTTCCTCTCACCCCATGGCCCTCCCCTTCCCGCTCCACTGATCATCGTATCCTCTTGCTTCCTAACACCACCCCCGTCAATGTCCGCCCCTATCATTACCCATACTCCCAAAAATCGAAACTTGAAAAACAAGTTCAGGAGCTCTTGGACTCCGGCGTTATTCGCCACAGCAGCAGCCCCTTCTCCTCCCTTGTCCTTCTCGTCAAAAAGAAGGATGAGACCTGGCGGTTATGTATTGACTATTGCGCCCTCAATGCTTGCACTGTTAAGGATCGTTTTCCCATCCCCGTGGTCGACGAACTCCTTGACGAACTCCATGGTGCCACTATTTTTTCCAAATTGGATCTTCGCTCCGGCTACCACCAAATCCGAATGCATGAGACGGACATTGAGAAAACCGCATTCCGCACACATAATGGTCATTATGAATACTTGGTCATGCCGTTCGGTTTATCGAACGCACCATCCACCTTTCAATCACTTATGAACTCTATTTTTCGTCCTCATTTACGTAAATATGTTTTGTTTTTTTTTGATGATATCCTTGTCTACAGCCCTTCCTTGGACACTCACCTCTTGCATCTAGCCTCTGTTTTCGACATTCTCAGGGAGAATCAACTCAAGGTTAAGCTATCCAAACGTTCCTTTGGCCAACCACAAGTGGATTACTTGGGTCATACCATTTCGGCCAACGGGGTCTCTGTTGATTCTAGCAAAATTCAGTCCATTATCACTAGGCCTCTTCCGAAAACTCTTCGTGGCCTCCGTGGATTTTTGGGTCTTGCAGGATATTATCGAAAATTTGTTTGCAATTTTGGCTTGCTCTCAAGACCACTCACTGACATGCTCAAACATGGCAATTTTGCTTGGTCCCCGGAGTCCACTTCCGCTTTCCAGCACCTTAAGGATGCGCTCTCTTCTACTCCGGTCCTCGCCCTCCCATATTTTGCAAGGCCATTTGTGGTTGAAACGGATGCTTCCGGTGGTGGCATTAGGGCTATTCTCAGTCAGGATAAACATCCCATTGCATTTGTCAGCAAGGCCCTATCGGATCGTCATCTTGCCCTCTCAACATATGACAAAGAGATGATGGCTATCGTTTTTGCCGTCCAACATTGGCTGCCATACTTGTTGGGCCGACACTTTACCATCCTCACTGATCATCGTGCAATCAAATACTTTCTGGAGCAACGCATCTCTACTCCATAGCAGCAGAGGTGGTTAGTCAAGCTCTTGGGGTATAATTATACAGTGGCTTACCGAGCCAGCCATTTGAATGTTGTCCCCGATGCCTTGTCCCGAAAACATGAATTATTACCTATCATGGGTCTTTCCACTCCGATATTTGATTGCATTTCTGACCTACAGCAATCCTATCAGGCTGACACTGCGACATCCACACTTCTCTCTCAGCTCAATGCCCCTCCTCCAACTGCTCCAAAGGGATTCCAACTTCGGAATGACACCATCTACTACAAAGATGGTTTATACATTCCCCCAACTTCTCCTTGGCGCCCTCGGATCCTTTCTGAATTTCATGGTTCACGCGATGGAGGCCACTCTGGCTTTCTTCCAACCTACAAACGCATCACTCGTAGCTTCCATTGGCCCGGCCTCTGTAAAGCCGTCAAGTCCTTCGTTGCCACCTGCCATGAGTGTTAACGCCAAAATTATGCAACCCAGCACCCCTCCGGCTTAATCCAGCCTCTCCCAATTCCTACCACCATTTGGCAGGACATTGCCCTTGACTTCATAGAAGGATTGCCCAAGTCCGGCAGTAAAGATGTCATCCTTGTCGTGGTGGATCGCTTGACAAAATATGGACATTTTTTTGCCCTTGCCCACCCTTATTCTGCTACAACAATAGCTGACCTATTTATCAAGGAAGTTTATCGCCTCCATGGCATGCCCAAGACAATCGTGTCCGACCGTGATCCTACCTTTATCAGTAATTTCTGGTCTGCCTTCTTCAAAGCCCAGGGAACCAAGCTTTGCCATAGCACCGCCTATCACCTCCAAACCGATGGCCAAACAGAGGTGCTCAATCACACCCTTGAACACTATCTTCGATGCTTCTCTGTTGATCAACCTTCTTCCTTGGGCCGAATAGTGGTATAACACCAGTTTTCATTCCGCCATTCGCATGTCCCCCTTCCAGGCCCTCTACGGGATACCCCCACCATCAATCCACTCTTACCTCCCGGGCACCACCGCGGTTCAAGTAGTTGACACCACCCTTCGCGATCGTGACATGATGCTTCATCTTCTCCGCGATAACCTACT